TCAGTGTTAGAACTTATCATCAGAATTCATATGCATACATATGCATACCAGGTCTAACTGATTGAGTGTAAGATACTCTCAGTTTTTACTCATTACCCCTCTTCACCTTAAAAATGGGTTACCTGTTAAGTTTCCTGATTGCCAATTCCTAGCAAAACTGGATGTCTTATGAATATGTAGAGGAGATATAATAAAATCATATGAGTACAGCAGCCCTGTGTGTTCTGAAAAGTGCTTCCCAAGCCCCTGGAGACTTCTACATGCTCCTGGAAGACTAGACTTCCTGCTGAGAAGAGGAAAATGAGAGAATAGGATGTGATTGGATCAGTTAAGTTTACTGTGATTTAAGCATGAAAAATGCTTCCTTCTGTCTCTTTTTAGATACTGACATGGCTGGATGAGCCCATGTTCAGTAATCCATTCAAAACAGGTCTGCTCAGCTCAGCACTTCCCACTGTGCTAAGTGGGACCTAATTGCCTTGGATATAGGCCCCCTCTTATTGCGGAGCTCTTATTTCATTAGCATTCTAGATTGGGTTCTTGGAGATAACTTTCCTTGGTAATTTGTTTACTGTTGAACTTTGCAGATTTTCACTTTAACAGTCTGCTAATTCTTAAGCTTTTGCAGGGGGAGGGGGAGGGGGAACTAGCCTATCAGTCTGTCAATAAAGACTTAGCCATCAGAAGCTACAATAAAATGTCAGTTCCAGAATGCATTTTTTTTCCAAACAAGAATGACTGGTATATTGTGCAGTTTTCTCATGATTAATTAAAATCAAGCTATCCGTATAACTAAAATAAACAAAAGAAACCCACCATGTAATTCTGACATTATTGCTTTTTAATTGCTCTGCTTCTCTGGCTCGTTTTCAAAATTTGCTTATCTGAAGTAGTTGTCCAGATCATTAGTGAATATTAGTCCCTATTGGATATTTTCCTCTAAAGTGCAGCCATTCGTGTGCAACTGCTGGTCACCATCCAGCAGTTGTTGTAAGTCCGCTTCAGTCCATAACTACTGTAACGTTTTTAGTAATGGCTGTGCTCCAAAGATTTTGTCTTCTATCTCCTTTTCCCACTGATTCGCACTTAAGATAGATATTATCTTTAGGTCTGGGAGCAGATAATTCATGACTGTGGTAAACTGCATTCAAAACTAAAGAATAAAATAAGTTTTTAAAAAAATGTGTTAGTCATAATGAAAATGTCA